GTATTATGAAGTTGCTTACACCAGAAAAAATACACCATGTAACAAAAAATGAATAAAAATAAACATCTGCAAAAAGTTGGTAAAATTTTTAAATTAATCTTTTAATTCCATTTTCCGTGAACATTTTGAAGTGCCTTTGTAAATATTTATGGTCACATCTCATTAGTTAAATAACATAATTTATACTATATATCAAAATTATTTTGAGATAGATTGAAGATTTAGATGTTCCCCAATATAATAATACTTGATTGAAGCAAAGATCCTTAATAGATATTAATATCATTGGTTCATGTTTATAGCAACTTTGTTCATAATTGCCCATAGTTGTAAGCATTCCTAACATCCTTCAGTGGCTGAATGTAAAACAAGCTGTCGGTACAGCCACACAAAGGAATACGACTCAGTCATAAAAAGCAACTACATGAATGATTCTCAAAGACATTATGCTAAGTGAAAGAAATCAGTCCTTAGATTTATATCCTGTATGATTTCTTTGTGTGACATTATGGAAAAGGAAAAAGATACATGGATTGAGAACAGATCCATGTTTTCCAGAGGTTGGGGTGGGGTAAGGTTTGACTACAACTGGGAAGCATAAGATATTTCGGGGAAATGATCAAACTGCTTTGTGTCCTGATTGTGGTTGTGGTTACAAGGATCTATACATCCCAACCCATTGCCATCAAGTCAGTTTTGACTTAAATCAATCCAGTAGGATAAAGGAGGCCTCCAAGGCTATAAGTTTTTAAAGAAGTAGGCTACCTCAGTTTTCTACAATGGATGTGGGTTGGGAAGAGTGACCTTTTCGATAGCAGCCAAGTGCTTAACCACTGCATGTCACCAAGGCTCCTTGCATGTAGTCAGACTCAGAGATCCACATCTTCAAAAAGTGTTTATTCCATTGTGTCAATTTTGTCTTTTAAATGGGAGAAAAATATGCATATAAGGGGGCTTCCAAAAATTGGTGGAAAATGAAATTGAAAGATAATGGAGTATTCCAATGAACTTTTGGAAGTCCCCAAATAATTTTCTTTAAAACAAACAAACAAACAAAAAAACCCTTAAGACCTGAAAAGACAATTCTCAAAGGATGATACTCGAATGGCTAATAAACACATGAGGAAATGTTCCTGTTCACTAGCCATCTGGGAAATGCAAGTCAAAACAACTATGAGATACCATCTAACACTCATAACTATAGCCCAATTAAAAAACAAAACAAAACTGAGATCAGCAAATGCCAGAGAGGGTGGGGTGAGATTGGAACTCTTATCCACTGCTGGTATACTTTTAAATATGTACAGTCACTGTGGAAAGTGATATCACGATTCCTAAAAGAGATAGCAATTGAAATACCATATGATCCAGCAATTACCATTCATTACTGGGCATATACCCAAAATAAATAAGAAACAGATCATGAACAGACCTTTGCTCCCCCATGTTCATTGCAGCACAGTTCACATAGCAAGAAGTTTTGAAACAGCCTAAATCCCCATCAGTAGAAGACTGAATAAAAAAAACTCTCATATACACACACACAATGGCATACTACAGAGCTCTAAAAAACAGCAATGAAAGTATGAAACACCTCTGGAAGACATTATGCTGAGGGAGTCAATCACAAAAGGAAAAATACAGTATTAATCCACTGCTGTAGGAACAAGCAGCAGAACAGACACAAGCTCAGGCTTGTAGGGAAACCAGTCTGCGGGCCAGTGGGGACAGATAGCCTGGTAGAGAGCCTGATCGATGCAATACACCATCTGCTCTAGGTAAGTATTTTAAAGGTCACTTTGCCCAAGGGCGCCTCATGTCAGCTGGGATCAAATGGTCAAGGGAGGGAAAGGGTATGTTGTCGACTGAGTGGCTGCAATGTAAATCTGTGATGGGATTCCCCCGGACAGGTAGACAGCTCTATCAGTGGGATGAGAGATACTGATGGGAAAAACAAGTCAGAAGAGGAGAAAGGGAACAGACCCTTCTGGTGGAACACCCTCCAGCTGGGGGGAAGAATGACTGAAAATGTCTTTGGGAACCCTCAGGAGGGGAGTGTCTTTGGTGGTACTCACCGAATGGCTACATTGACCTGGGCATCCTGGGGACTCAGGGTGGGTGCCGTGGAATGCTAGGACACTGAAACCTGGATCTTCAAGGCTCACAGCATGCTCCAGAGGCTGCATCGTAAAATTTAATGACAAGACCCCATTGGGTGAACGGGACACACTTGTAATCTGAGGGCTTAAGTGGGAAAATGCATGATGTCTGAAGAAAGCAGAAAACAGCTCATCAAGATTGTTGAACTGTTGCTAGGTGGACAAATCTGGTCATCAATGCCTTATTATTCTGGTAAACTTGTGACTGACATTTTCAGTGATTCTTATTGTAAATTTCCCTGACAATTAACCTCCATTGTTTGTGTAAATAACGTCCAGTCACCAAAGAACTGATTATGTACAAGTGAATCATTCAGGTACTGTGATAAGGAGTTAGCCTACATTGGCCTAATATCCCTCTCTCAACAGGGCTTTTAAAAATTAGTACTAGGGACTAATCAAAGACAATATTAATGGAAAATCATTATGCCCCAGGGGGATGATCAATAAGACCATAAATAAGGAGGTTTTAATGTGCTAGCAGCACATTAAAAACAAACAAAAAACATAGATCCAAGAATTTTGGGCTTGCACTAAATCCTAGCTCCAATGTAAGAACAATTAGTTCTTCCAGCATGGCCCTGCTCAACACTCACCCTCAGGAAGGGAACACAGAAGATATGGGTGCTATAGCAAACTGTGTGAAGAAATTAGATGGCGCCCGGCTGTCAGATAAAATAGCACCTGGGGTCTTAAAGGCTTGTCTCCAAACAAGCAGCCATCTAAATGAGATGTCAACTAAATCCATGTTGGAAGAAGCACACCATCATCAGTCACCAAGGGATCGTAAATCATATAATCTGAAGTTGAAGGAGAGAGTTGTATCAGAGCCTAAACTGTGAGAATCCAGTTTGCAGAAGGCTATGGATGACAGTGGGAGCTCAAGATATACTTGTGGGAACTACATAGGAAACAAACCTCCAGTGATCTTCCTCTATCCATAATAGAGGGATGGGAGGAAAGTGGTGACTAAAAAGAGTGTATTAGAGAGATGAGCATCGAAGATCAAAGGGATAAACTTGACTTGAACAGTTGTCAGTTGATCCCTTCTTTGCTGCATGCTAGACCTGATTTGGTTTTCAACATTTTCTGTATTTTTGGGGGGTTGGTTTTTGTTTGTTGATAATAGGGTTTATCTCAGAGGTGCTATGTCTTTGGGGGTTACCCTCTGGAAGTTGTGTTATATGTTTTCTGTATATGAAAACCAAGATTGATGAACCTACAGGGACAGCAAGTAGAATAAAGGTTTGGGGTGGGCGGCGGTACAATGGTGGGTGGGGGCCGGGTTAAAAGACGATGTTAAGGGGTCCAGGAAGGAAAAGAATGTTTGGAAACTGATTGTGGTAGCAATTATACAATGCTGTGTGATGTGTTTGAACAATGGAATGTTATTAACTCCCAATTAATAATAAAAATTTAAAATGCCTTAAAAGAAAATTTTCACAAGGGGGTGCCCTTCTCTTCACCCCCCGTTGCTCCCTGGGCACTCCCTTTTGTGAAAATTGGGGTGGGAAACATTTGGAGAGAAAGAGTATTTGAGTTATACTGGGCTCTGGATCCACAGCTCTTTGTCAACCAGAACAATTATGCTTTAGTTTGTCTCAGATATGGTTTGTCTAAAAACCTCTGCATTAGAATAATTGATCTCAAGCCAGGTTCCCACATCTTAGTTTGAGTTTGAACCATCCTGGATTCCAGGGCCTATTGTGATGTCCCTTCAATTGTAACTTTAGCAAGTGTCCCTATGGATCTCTGTAGTTAGCTAGACCAGGGCACTGACTCTAATGGTCAATGATTCTAAACATGGTGCTTTGGGAGGAGCTTATTACAGGTGAATTAAAATCAATGGAGAAATCTGAAAAATCTTCATCCTCTGAGATGACTTCTGAAAAGATCTTAAACTATTTTTTTAAAACCAAAACCATTATGAGTTGAGATTCAATCAATGGAAGTGAGTGAGCTGTAAATAGTAAAGGGTTGTGTTTGAGAGGAAAATGATGTAATGAGGATGAATGTGTTGACTCTTGATCTGCTGGGCCAAAGGGGATCCTTAATAACCCAATCTACTATTTATACTAAGCATGCATCATGTGCCAAGTCAATTAATTGTTTTAATCCTCATTACCATCCTGTGGGAGAAGGGCTGTTATTACTTTTGATAGGTGAGGAAACTGAGGCCTTACGAGGCTCCAGGAGGAACCCTTGAAGCCTGATGTTACACATGCTCTGTCATGACCCCTAGGATATGGGAAGGCCACTTTTACAACTTGCCAATACTGAAAAATAATATTTTTAAATTATATAGTGGAATACTTTCTTTAAAAACTATGCATAAACTCAATTTAGACACTCAGCGTTGTACCGCTGTGGTTGAAAGTGGGGATAGAGGTGACCTGAGACTTCCCTAGGTTTCCTGGAGCACAGCTTGAAGGCCACTTACCCAGTAAATTGGCACAGAGGTGTCAAGATGCCTAAGGCTCTGGTTTTGAAATCCAAAGAACTGGGTGGAATTCTGGGGAACTGCAGGCTTATAGGCCTACCACATGTGTTGTTGGGCATACTTGCAGGCCCATGAGAACTGGGCACCACCAGCCTTACCTTCCTCTCCTGTCTGGCCAGACTTCAGCAGCCATAACCTTCTACTTACACAATAAGAAATAGTCTTACTATCTTACAGGTAACAAGTTTATTATTACAGATACTAATTCATTACCCTAAATGCCACACCTACACCTCTCCCCTTTCCTTACATCTATCTGGTTTTTCTACATTGGTAGAACGTTCAAATTTAACCTTGGAATTAAAGCATAGGCAGATCTTGCTGGTCTTAACGGTTCATGCCTACACCATCAATCAGGTTTCCTCTTTGTAGATGTCGGGGATCATACCCATCGCTGAATCGATCATGTGCACGGTGTTTTTGTTAAACAGTTTGTACTCATAGAGGATAAGCTGTCCCCAGAAACCATTGTTGGGCCGGATGATGGGACGGCGAAGCTTGGTCCAGCTGTGGGCGTGTATTAGCGACATGGAGCGGTATTTCATGAGGTAAGCGAGGCAGAGTGCTGCTGAGCGGCTAACCCCGGCAGCACAGTGCAGCAGAGTTCGGCCTTCCTTGGCTTCAATCCCCCGGATATGGTCAGCGACAGGATCAAAGAAATCATAAAGGACGGAACTGGGTGTGTCGTTCACAGGCACCTGCAGATACTGGACATTTTCATAGAACGTATTCACGATTTCTACTGTTGCGTTGATAACTGATGTGATATTCAGACGGGACAGTAGGGACTTATCGTTAGCTGCTGCTGCATTACTGATGAACAGGCTGTTGGTAATCTGAGAGAAGCTCTGGACTGAGAATGGCAGTAACTGTTGAGATTGGGGACGCTGCTGTTCCATCGTTAAGGTGTCGATCCCGGGACTCTCTAGGCAGGTCTGTTGGGGGCATCACTTCCGCGGGCACGCGAGTTCATCCAGGCCGCCCCTGCACCACAAGTCTTTGGCAAGAAGTGGGGGTTGGGGGAGAGAGGACTGAGAGTCCCTGCCCTGACTTCACAATCCCCAATGTCTGACGCTCTGGTATCCATGGCAATGGCTGTTCTGGAAGGAAGCCTCATCTGCTATAGTGACATGCCAGGTTTTCAGAGAAACCCCCTATCCTTTTTCTTCAAAACAGTTTATTTCCCAGACCCCAAACCTCATTTTTCTCGACTTTTAAAAATGTTCTTTGCAAGGTATCTATTTTGTGCTTCAATTGTTGGGGCACATGGAACACCATGGCTTTTAATGCTTCCATCCCATTGGTACTAAAGAAAAGGGCTTGCACTTTTTTTCATTTGTGCAAAATACTAGTATCATATTGCATGTTACGGAGCAGCATTTGCCTCATGTGATATGTTAATCTTTATAAAACTGCAGCGAAATATGAGCTTTGCCTGATTTTAGTGGGTTGGCCTGATACTTCTTTGTGGATTGAATTATATTCCTACTTGCAAACACATCAGGGTTGGGTTTAAGGGAGCACTGCTACCTGATACGCAGCCCCGTGTCTGTTGTGAAGTTGCCCTGTGCAAGGCAGTTGCGACTAATATAGCTGTGTCCTAGTCCATTGGTACCTAAGAGCCCAACGGATTTATCACTTGATTTGACTTTATTACTTAAAAATAAGCAACCACAGCCCAAATTATCTTATGTGTGCTTTTGTCAAAAAAGAATATCCATATGCTTTGTGAGATAGTTAAAGTTCATTGTGCTAACATGGCCAATGAACACATGTGGGATTAATTGAAGGGCAGAGAGCTAAATGGCTTGACGAGCCTCGCCTGTCTTGTCTCTTGCTCTTTGATCATCGGACCAGTGTGTGGCTGCCTTGTTTGTTCTGTGCCTCAATCTGCAAGCTACACTACTTGTGGGACACCTAACCCGTGGACTGCGTTCTTTCAAGACCTGCTTTGACACATTATTGGAATTTACATCTCCTGAGCTGGGAACTTTTGGACCCTGTCATCTGGCTGACTGTTGGTGACCTGCCTTGCTGTTTGCTGCCTGTGTCCGGATAGCCTGAATTGCTCTACAGAGGACTACCCGGCAGCCCTCAAGACTTGAAGGACTGCCAATGTCTCACAACTGTCTCATGGGAGTGAGTTGCACTGAGCCATTTGTACTGCTTTATAATTTAATTAACTGTTTATTCCTTATGTTATATATCTATCTATATAAATATATATAAAATTATTAGTGTGGTTTTGTTTCTCTAGAGAACTCTGTCTAACACACTTTGTAAACTACATCCCATTATGTCCACCATGGGTGGTTTCTTCCCAGTAATATTAAAAATTTTGGAACAAGTCAATACTACATCATAACTGACCCCAAAATGTCTTTTTAAAGATGCTACCTGGTATTTGCATCTTTCCTCGCAGCTAATGTTTTTGTAGAATTTGGCTGAAAATTCAAAAGAACTATAATCTAAAATTAACATTATTTCACAGAGTTGTCAAGACATATACACTTCATCTCATTCCAGCATCATTTTCACTGATGTGCCAAGATATGCTAAGCCTAATGAACACAGATGAAATGTCAGCCTGTTTTTGCTGGTCAAGGAAATAACCTTAAAACACAACACACTTTTATTTTTCTCAGTTGTAATGATCAGATTGTTTTGCATAACTTAAGTTGTCAGTCCCCACAAATACATCTGGAAGAAAACAAAACACAATACAGGTGAAAACTACTTATTAGAAATGGAAAATTTAGTTCAGTTGGGCTAAAGAGATTTAAAAGAGTTTATTCTAACAGTTTTGTTTATTTATTTATTTTATTATTTATTGTTTATTTCCCCCTGAGTTTTTGTTTTGAACAATTTCAACATATGTTTGTTTTTGTTGAATCATTTAGAGTTAAATGGAGATAGAGCAACACTTTACCTTTTCAGTACTATCTCCTAAGAACAACTTCTCCTTCATTTGGCCACAATAACCAAACCCAATTCCACTACCAACAAGTCAATTTGGATTCATAGTGACCCTATATAGAGTTTCTGAGACTCTATAAAGCTTTATGAGAGCACATAGCCTCATCTTTTTTCCCTCAAACAGCTAGCTGGTGAGCTTGAACCACCAAGCTTTTGGCTTATAGTCCAACACTTACCTAACAATGCCACCATAGCCACAATGCAAGGACCATGTTCAGGAAATTTAACATTTATCCAAGACTATTATATAAGTTGAAATTCAAATTCTACTAATCCTTCCCAAAATATCAATTTATGATTTTTTTTCTTTCCCCCCTTTGATTCAAATCAAATGTAGAAGTACACATTCTATTTAGTTGTCATAACTCCTTAATTATTTTTTAATTGGGGCCAGTTCCTAGAGTTCTTTTTCTTGACATTTGTTTGGACATTGATATTTTGACAAGTTTAGACCAGTTGTTTTGCAGAATGTCTTGCAATTTGGATTTTTTTTTTTAGAAAGAGAATTTTAAAACAGACTCAAAAGAATGGAAATCACTTATGTATCCTCTTCCAAGGCAGGCAAAAGACTTCCTTCCCCACAGGGTCAAGACTATGACTAAGTGGTGAGGAAGGCAGGTCTGGCCCCAGCCAAGGGGGAGACACATAGAGGGCCCGTGGCAGACACTTGGCTGCAGGCAAGTGCAGCTCTTGGGCCGCAGGAAACCCATGGCCACTGGGGTACTGGTTCTGGAAATAGTTCTCATCTTTCCAGAAGTATGTTCTGTCTGCAGCAGCTGGCTGGAGAAAAGACTTCAGAAAGGCATATGCCCGGGGTGCCCGAAGGCAGCCTCTGACTCTGCCTTTCTCCTTGGCATACGTCTTACAACACTGAGGAAGGCCAGGGGTTTGGCAGCTGCGCCTTCAATAGTCTTCATCCTACAGAGCTTCGTAGCTCTTAGGGTGACTGGAGAGGAAGCGACTAACTTGGGGAGACTCTTGATCTTTCCACTTCTCCCCCAACCTGAAACACTGCAGATCCTGTTGCCACCACAGTTCAAGTCACACACACACACACACACACACACACACACACACACACAGCCCTTGAGAATCTAACTTTGGGAGCAGGGAGCTCTGGGCATTGTTGGTCTGATATTTGCCCACCTGGCATCACTAACTTGTCCTAAAGCTCTTTCCAACCACTTCTCACTATTTCCAGGCCCCATCTGGCGAGGCGCCTAGCTTTCACTCCATCTGGCTGCTCATAAAGGCACAAAGTAGGAAAGTCCACAGTGGGATGGCATTGCTTGGAAGCAAGGAAGGCTACGGGGCCCCGCAGCTACCCAAGGCTGGTGTAGACATCCTCTGCTCCGCTCAACTCCTCAAAGATGGGGATCAGGTTCAGCAACACAGTGTCTGCCATGTCATCAAACCAGGACTGCACAGGCACTGCGTTCTCTGGGTGGAAGATGTATGAAGCTGGCGAGTTGTCCCTGCCCAGGTGGCTGAGATCCTTGACATAGCAGCCCTGGTATCACACAGGACTCCTGGACCAGGCGGGCCAGAACACCCCGCAGCGGCCCAGTAGGTCTGTCACAGGGTCGACATACTTGGCTAGGCTGGCAGTGAAGAGGACACATTCAGAGAGTTCCCCCATTCGCCTCAGGCGCTCATCCACATAAGGCCTCTTGAGCACATACACCTGGTGCGTGGTTCCCTCAATCTCGACAGGCACTGTGAAATCAGCATTGTTGATGGGCTTAAAAGAGCTGTGCACCAGGGTTTCATCCAGGTCAATGACCACACATATCCTTCCTTGATCTTCTTCTGTCACCTCTGGGAGCAGGCAGGTCCCTGGGATCTGATAGAACTGGTACTGGAGGCATTGAAGCAGATCCGACTTAGCAATGGTGTTGATTTCCTCCTTGTACGCGGCAAGCTCAGTACAAGAGCTTGTTTGGCCAACATGCTGGGCACGAAAACAGCAGAAGAGGGCCTTGAAGATGTTACGCCCACGAGGCTTCTTGGGAGAGGACTTGGAGACCAGGTGTTGCTTGGTGAGCACGCCCTCTTCCCTCTGCGCCTGGGTGATGCTGGAGCCGTGTTCCATCTAACAATCCCGCGGGCCCGGGCTGGCTGGGCGGGAGGCCGGGCGGCGCACACGCTGGGCTGGGCTGGGGGGCCTGGGCCGGGGCCGCTCTGGCTCCCGAGAGACTCGGACTCCCACAGCTGTTCACGTGCCCTCTCGAGTTCCCTCCCGGCGGTGGGCAGGGAGGCGACCTGTCCTGAGGGCGGGCGGCC